GCGGTGGCTACTGGTCTTTCCACGCACTTTACGATCGCAGGTATGCGCCTCTCTTCACGACGTTCCACAATGTAGCCACGCCGGGGTGTTCAAAACATATGAACGCCTTCGCCATCGCTATTACTGGCGCGGCATGTACAATTTTGTACACAAATTTGTGCAGTGCAGTCCTGACTGCCAGCGACGCAAATCAACACCGCTACGTCCGACTGGCGAATTTCAGCCACTTCCGCGCCCTGCCAAGCCATTTGATCGCGTTGGCGTTGACCTCTACGGCCCCCTTCCATTGACACCATATGGCAATCGGTGGATTATAGTGGCGGTCGACCATCTAACATGCTACGCCGAAACAGTTGCGTTACCGAGCGCTACCGCTCAGGATGTCGCCTTTTTCATTTTACGTCGCTTTATCCTTCGACATGGCGCACCTCGAGAGTTCCTTAGTGACAGAAGCCGCGCTTTCCTCTCCGAGGTTGTCGAAGCTCTGCTTTCAGAATGCCACGTCAATCATCGGAAAACGACAGCGTACCACCCGCATACTAATGGGCTAACGGAACGGTTTGACCACAAGCTGGGTGATATGCTCTCAACGTACGTGGCATCTAATAATAGCAACTGGGACCATGTTCTCCCATACGTCACGTTCGCATATAATACTGCAATACAAAAACCACGGGATTTTCACCTTTCCTTTTTATGAACGTGACCCTTACCATACAATTGATACTCTACTTCCCTACCGTCCTGATGCTTCCGAATGTCCACCTATCTCTGATGCTGCTCGACAAGCCGAAGAGTGCCGCCAGCTCGCCCGTGCGTTCACCTCGGACGAGCAGCAACGCCAGAAAGAAAAACGTTGCACCTCTCTTCCGGATCCCAGCTATGCCTCAGGGTCTCTCGTGTGGCTTGCCATCCCATACCAAACTCCGGGACTCTCATCAAAACTGGTCCCCCGGTACGAGGGTCCTTACACCATTTAGAGAAAACCTCTCCGGTGAATTACCTAATTGAGCCAGTTTCCCAATCGCATGACATGCGCCAGCGTGGACGTGACATTGTCCATGTTCTCCGCCAAAAACCGCATCATGAGCCCCTCCCTGAAACTTCTTAGGTCGCCAGGATGGCTCCTTTTTCAGCGGGGGCGATTCTGAAGAAGATGTGCCTGCAGCAAGCAGCATCGCCAACGCCCGGCTCTCGGCTCGTGCTTCGGTTTGTTGCTGTGCCGATCGCTGGATGGTTCTTCATGCTTTCTCGTCATTGTCTTTAATGTGAAGAGGTTTATTAGCCGTTAAAGAGAGTGACGAGACAGCGTGAAGAACCGTCCACCAGATCACACTTCATCCATGTCAACGAAAACGTTCAAACGTTTAGGAGCACTAACCCCATCGAGACACCTGGGGCCCGTGCAGCACGCATGTATGCGCACGATCTGTTGCCTTCTTTCTTTCATTCGCATTGAGGAATGCGCCATCGTATCATTTTTTCATTCCTCCGTGCCGGGCATTGAAAGTCATTCAATTGCATAGCAGCCCAGCGCTTCATTTGCATTGCTTCAGTTGCAATGTCTTGATATGACTTCAGTTCCTACAAGCATATATTTTCCTAAGTTTAACCAAGAGGGACAATGGCCCGGGTACAATGCCGTCACCATGATAGCAAAAAGTAGCACACAACTTTGCCTATTCTTTGTGCCCCGGGCATCGGACGCTCATGCTGTTTTGTTTATTGCTGCGTTTTCAGTTTTGTTTCAGATAAACGAAACGTTGTGAACTTCATGGGCCGATTCGAATTCGTGAGCCTGTGAAGGTCAAGGTGGTAAAGCGAAACTAATAAACCTCTGTTGAACTTCGTCTTGGGACAAAGCCTCGACTACCGGTCAGCAGTGTTTTCTGATCATGCTCAAAAAGTGCTGTCAGGCCTTTTTAAAGAGGCACTAAAGAGAAAAACGATTTCTCACCTATAATAGATTACGATTTCATTATCTGAAAGGCATCACTCTTACCGCAAAAGAAGACGTTTGGCAAGCGGGAAAACACACAAAAGGAAAGTGCATTTGACGACATCATCTTGATATCGCACCAAGCTCCATGATAATATAGATTTCTACAGGTGTCTACAACATTGTAGGTAGTTTTTGATCGCTAAAATGGAAGTGAAAGGTTTTGTAAGGGAACCTACGACTTAAAGCACCAATTAAAACTTTAAATTGAATGAGTTGGTAGGTGCCCACAAATTTCGCGCAGTACTCAGGAGTAGGGCAATGGACGGAAGAAGCAAACATTATTCTAGAGTCAACGCCCGTCTCGTGCATTCTTACGTCCGTTCGTCCCACTTGTGGGCGTTGCACGAAATTCATTAAGACACCAAGTTCCAAAACATTTCGTTGAGCAAATGTTTCCTACAACTCGAAAAATACACTTTCAAATCTGTAAACAAAACTTTGAGCTTGACTTGCTACCATGGATGAATGAATAATGCTAAAATTAGCAACATCAGAGTTTTCAGAGTACAGTATTTTATATAACCGATTCGTTCTTTTACATTAGTGTGGAGCAACACACTACAATACAGCGTTCATTCTATCGTTTGTTGGCACGGCGCCCTGCAAAACATTTTCAGCATGGTCAGAATATGTGGCGGATCGGTAGTCGGTATTGAAAACATGTAAGCCATATACTAAAATTGCTGCGCGGGGCTTGAATTAAACAATTAGTTAGTGAAGTCAGCTTGAAATAGCTCTCTCTTCACTTTCTACAAGTGTTACCACGTACCCAAATCACTATGAAATAAACACACGTGCATAGGCATTGGTTGATTTAAGCATCACGACCTGAGTAGTCACCATATGATGAAAAGATGCGAGATGACGAGTGTTCACGGCAGACAGACATAGATCGACAGACGGACGGACGGACGGACGCAGCCAGTGAACGGACAACTCATGGTTTACCGATAAAGCCCTCTGAAGGTTTACCCCCACTCCTCAGTTGCTCCGTGGATGTGCTGTGATATGCGCTGTGAACCTGCCACGCGTTCCATAGGAGAGCCTCCCCACATGAACAGGTAGGACTGTCAGCTTTACTTATTCAATGCCGGAAGGCCTTCGTGTAGGCTGTGCCTAGTCGAAGCCTATCGGCGATTATTTTTACAAATTGGTTAATTTTTAACGGAATATTCAATTCTACGCCAGGATCAGCGCTACATATTTGGGAGTATTGCGCAATATTTTCGAACCAATGTTTTTCGGCCAATCGACAGCTCAGCTTATTTATTAGACACTGCGCATTGCTCAATGGCAGAGGTGCAACTGACATACGTTCTCCTAATGCGCAGCATGTGTCATGTGATTAACTATGTCGTTGCCTATGATTTCCCAGTGGCCGGCGCGAGACGCGAGCGTGCGCAGCGGAGGTGTGGACGGCGCCATCGTAGACGCCAAAGCGTGATATCGGGTGACTACAAAATGCTCCGCATTTAAAAAGTTAGCAAGTGGCTTAGCCAAGGATGATTAAAAAAGTTGCTGGAGTGGAAATGATTTCGCAGAAGTGAAGCCGTTCCTCTGGCAAGATGGCGGCTGCGGCGGCCATATTACTAAGGGTATGATAAAGTATTACCGTTCAGCAATTAAAAACGAAGCGTTTTCCTCGCACGCCCAACGAATTTAATGTGGGAACTTTTTTGGGTCATTAAGTGCTCGAAGTGCGTCTTACAGTTACCAGTTTTCCTTAGTGAGCCTCTAATTGGAGGCAAAGTTCTTTGAAGATGAAGTCATCCATACTCGTTTCTGTGCGTTATTTCGTTGGGAACAACTATCATTTAATATATAACTAACATAGCATTTACATAGCATATCGAAGCCACTTGATCTTTAGGTGGGCATCATCAGAAAAGAGCATGTTTCCGTCATCTTGGCAGTGGCAAGATGACGTCAAGGTGGCTTCACATCTGCTGGCAAGGCATTGCAGGAGCTTTCACTCCAGCATTTTTTTCTTTAATCCTCCTTGGGCTTAGCAGAGCTATGCCAAGAGATACGTAGTGCTCCAGGACGTAGCTAGAGCTACGTCCTGTGGATGCCATTTTGCTAGGCATCCCACGAGTGCAGTTTCAACACTCTTCTGCTTCGCTGAGCGGCAATTTCGCTTTCCTTTTTTATGGCTACCCCCCGATACTTCCACGCATGCACGCGTTATGAGGCGATATCAATCGGCTCCTGCGCCGCGTCAAATGGCCACTACGCAATGAACTTGGAGGCACACAGCCGGGCGCGCGTCAGCGCCAGTGCGTCTGCCACAGCTAGGAGCACCGTTGCTATAGAATAAACCCTAGTTTATTCTAGTAACGTTGGCTAAGAGTGCGGGGACTTAAGCAGTGGCGGCTCCGGCGTGCCAGCTGCGCGCCGTCTGACGTCACTGGTCTTCCCGCGTGCGCAGCAGGGCTCTCAATAAGCAACGCAAAATTGCCTAACCTCGGCCAGTGTAGCTCACGCTACAAAAAATGAAAGGCCTAACCACACGTACCCACCGCTTCGCGTCAGCGCGTTGCTTCGTGACGTGGCGCCAGCGTCTTCTCTTTACGTGTGGTCAGGCCTTAAGACCTGACCAGACTTCCCGTTGCAGCGCGTCAGTGTGTCTCTTTGGAACCCGGCGCCGCGGGCTCTCTCAATGGAGAGAGAGGGAGTGGCGCCGCCTTAAAAAAATGACTAATATAGCACGCACTGATGCGTTATAAAGTGCCTGTGGCATAAAGTGTTCTATATACGTGCTGACGCGTGATGACAAAGGGGCGCATCTTCTTGCCCCCCTTCTTACTACCTAGCTTTCAAGGCGCTCGCTGCTACGAAAGAAGAAAGACTCCACTCACACTCGACACTTTCTAAAAAATTTTGCGAAGGTATATTTGTGAGACAATAAGCTTTACCAATGAAGTCATTCAATGTTTAGCTGGAAAGTATTGCAGCGTCCTTTTAAGTATACACACACTTATGTTACAAAGCACGTTACCTTCATAGTCATGTATTCAGTCGTGTCATAACTTGTCAGAAAAAACTGCCCCCATCGATGCCGCTGATCCTCTGTCGAAACACCAACGGCCACCTTTTCGAGGTTCAGGTCCGTCTGTGGCATCTGGCAAGCCTGCGACGTTGCAATTATTGAAGAAAAACAAATGGTCAGTTTTTCCGAAAGGGCGCAGGAATGAATGCAGTAGCAACAACTTGGAAACAAAATCATGCCAGCATCATTGGAGCTAGCACAGCTGAAAACGTGGCCGCTAAAGTCCAGGGAAGCTCTCTATACGAAATACCACATATGCTTATGGGTGTGTATGTTTAGTGGACATTTTGAAGTAATGGTAGTGATCAGTGGAGTAGCAAGGAAGTGGCACACCGAGCCCGAGCCTCTTCTCTCGAAATTATTTTTTCGCCATGGCGTACAGAGCGCAAAATGACCATTTGCCTGCCAGTCCCTCACTGCAGATTGAGGAGGTTTCCAACTTTAGGCCGACCTCCTAGTAGTGGTAATCGATTTATGGTCGCTGTGGTGGAGCGTGATTGGTACCGTGACCATATTTAGCAAGAACAATGTGTTCCGGTCCCCTAGCGTAGTATTCGTGGTGTTATTCTTCTGTCCCTATTTCGTGAGGTCTACCAATGACGATCCTATAAAACGAGCTGAATAAGTTGCTAGACGGATGAACCTTTTACGTACGAAAGCTGAAAGCACATGCGGTAAAAAGCAAGGGCCGTTTTACGTCATTCGAAACGCTCGTGTGAATGTCAAAGCAACTTTTTTAGCGGCACGCGCGAGATGGTGTTCGCATTGTTCTCGGGCGCCTTATCATCAGTCACGTGGTTAAGACGCTTGTTTTGAGGTTTTCCTTACATAAACGATTACCGAGCTCTATGCAGTATGCCTGAATTCAAGTAAACGTATTCCGTTTGCTCTCAATTGTAGAAGGACTGCTAAACCACCCAAAGGTAGAAAGTTAATTGTGGCGTTGCATTTGAGCACGAGTATACTATACAGAGAGCGCTAGCGGAGTCACACTCGTTCCCTCGTTTCGCTCTTTCATTCGCAATGCTTCTTTCGTCAACTCGTGTATCCGCCCCTTTGAATATCTTTAAGGTCTGACCACACGTAACGCGCTGCAGTGCGTCAGCGCATGGCTTTTTCACGTGGCACTGCATCCCCTATCGAGAAAGAGGGTGCGCAAAGGTGCGCTCCATCTCTGTACGTAGAGGGCATCGCGCCGTATCAATCATCAAGCGAAAAGCGGTGCGTTAACGCGCTGCCACAGATACGTGGGATCAGGTTACAGTGGCGAAGCTCTTCTTACTCTAACCTTGTCCCGCGTCAGGCGTTACCAGCAGTATGTCTCGAACAGTAGAATGAATGATGCTGTCTCATAAACATTTCTCGTCTCATTTACTAAATGGTGTTGATTCAATGAAAATGTGCGCAATAGGACGGATGGACACACGGATGGACGGACGGAACCATGGACGGAGGCAGGACGAATGGATGGACGAACGCACGGACGGACGGGTGGATGGATGCACGGAGGATGCACGCACGGATGGACGCATGGATGGCCGGATGTAAGTATGTATGAACGGACGGACGCACGGGTGCGCGAATGGTCAGCCGATGAGCGGAAGCACGGACGGACGGACAGATTAATGCATGGACAGAGGACGGGTGGATGCTTCACCCCACTCATCACTATTAACGCCGAGGATATGCTGCGACTTTTTTGCTTAGTGTCCAAGCTGAAAACGCAAGCAGCGCGCATCTTTCGACAGAGAAGCACACGAGCGTCTGAGGCTAGTAGAGGGAGTGGCTCAATATCTGTGCCACATACGCGTCTTATGTAGTGTACCTCAATGCGTGAGCGACAATGCACGCGTCAAAGCACCCTAGCTCTAGGACTTTTGTGCTGAGGTCAAGACCTTACCAGATCGATGCGAGTTACTTAACTGGGATGTAAAAAGGAAATGTTGAAGCTAAAAAAAAAACGTGGCATTCGTCTTGTCAATAACTAGCTTCAATCCGAAAACTTGCGGTCTTAACCCAACCTGAGCAAAGGTATAAAATACGGCATTTGCACTCGCTAGCAGAACGTTCTTGTTCTAATGAGATTTCTACTTCGTGTTACGCATTCTCACAGCTGTATACTTCTTGCAATATTTACTTCACACGAACCTCGGCGTTTACTGCTATCCGTGCGTTTAGCATCTCTTGCATTCGTTTCTTCCTTGCCGATTCTCCCGCTTCTCCCAAGTGCTGACCACTCAGTGTGACTGCTACATAAACACAGCGCCAAGCTCCGATTCGCCCGGCTCTCGTGGGTATTTCTGGATAAATTCTGTGGAAATTCACTGCAATTTGGACCAGTATTCTTTTTATGTATATAAGGAGATATTGGTCCGAATGCGTGGCGCCGGCTACTCCTCTGCCCTCGCACGACAGTCGACATTGCATATGAGGCTGTACAAGTAGACTGTTACGTAGCACAACACGCACTGAGCCCAAGTTTTCTAATACAGAAACTTGTCCACACCACAGAGAATTCGGAAAAGCATGAGTAATCACACGCAGTTGAAATGTCCGCACAAAACATGAAAGTTCGCTAAAATATCGTCAAAGGATGATTAATGTCTCTCGGGAGCAGTCTTTCAAATACAGCACGGTTTTCACAATACTTCTCACAAAAATTCTCTGCAAACTGCAAACAAGATTTGTAGTGGAACATACCTGTTGAAAATAACACGAATACTTTTGCTTTTTTGGTTTAGTGCTTGTGTATTATTTCTGATTCCTCTAGAAAGCCACCTACTGCATGCACAGCAGTGGCTTGTAGGTTTCCTCTTGGCCCAGGGCCCAAGGTATTAGCTATTGATGGAGATCGCTTTAAAAATTTAGTTTTTGTGAAACTTTCTTGAAAGGTTTACCATAATTTTTGCAACGTAGAAGAATGTGCTCTGATCAACATTTTCTTCAGTCTTCTCCACATGACCAAGTTGGACTGCCAGCTTTACTTATGCAGGAAAACTTTCGTACAGATCGGCTAAACTTAACGAAATATTAAATTCTACGCCAGGGATGAATGATACATAACTGGAAGTTTTTCGCACATTTTCAAACCAAGCTTTTTTTTCTTTTGGACAATCGACAGTCCAGCTTAATCGCTTATCGCTCATTAGCAGAGGTAGCAGTGATAAGTGTTCTTTGAATTCCCTTCATGCGTCATGCAATCATCTATGTCGTTGCCTATGATTTCGCAGTCGCTTGGTACCCACTGGAACATAATGGCGGGGTTTAAATATTTTGATATAGCGTAAGTCCTCTACATTTCATATGCGAGCACGCTAGCTTTGTTCCTATAAGCTGATTCTACCAAATCTTCGTTGCAGCAGACATGCCAATAAAGTCGTGGCAGGGTGCCAAGTGAAATTGCTTCATGTTATAACGAACACTGATGCAGCGAACAATTGGTTATAATAAGCTTAATACAAATTTGGTTGGCCACGCTTTATATAAACGTTTATACTTCTTTCAATAAAACCCAAATTGCGAGCATCACCGGAATGAAGAGGGTAACGAAGAAATATTTCACGTGCGTGAAGTTCAAAATATGAAAGGTTGAGCAAAAGGCAAAACAAGATATAAAGAACCCGCCAACCAGTTTTTTTTTTTTTTATGAAGGTGGTTGCGACACTAAAGCTTTTATGAAAAATGCGGTCAAACCCTTCTCACACGAGTTTGAACGCTGTCCTCTTTGTTGAATGAACTTTGTTTTGTTTCAATCTCACTTTCTCATATGTGGAGCTCCTTAGATTGACGTGCAGAAAGCAAGGAGCACCTTGTGTGGGGTAGCAAACTGTAGTATACGACTCCGGTCATGAGGAGAATGAAGACAAATAATGATGGTGGTTGTCATAATGTACATAGATGGCACACAATAAGCGTGCCTACACTATCAAGGATTTTCGCTTCAGCCCAAGTGCCTATTTGCCAGTGTTTATTTCAATAAGTACTTACAACGTACATCGAATATCACTCAGTTATGGTCCTGGTGCTTCTGCGTTACGCCAATTTCCGACTGTATGCACAATGACAAGTGGTTCGCGCCGGGATATGACACGTGGTGGCGGGCACGAGCTCACGAGGGTTTTAAGCAAGGTGTGCGAACCGGAGTATAACCATCGAACATCTTGTACACTTGTTTGTGACCATGCCAATTGCACTGGTGTCAGAAGATCTAAGTGGCTCTGCAAATAGACATTTTCACTTGCTCCCTGGGTGCCATGGTCCTCTCTGGGCTATTGTCAGTGCGCGTGACCCCCCAAAAATGCACTGCTGAGACTGTGACGTCGGCTTTTGTTCTCTGGTCCAACAGCCCAGAAAGTATAAAATACTCCTCTTCATTAGAAGGATTCATACATGAGGCGATATAGCAGTCGGTGCAGTGAATTCGGGGGCAGTCAACGCAGCCGAAGCATGGCTGATAATTTTTTTAAGGTAAATAGCGTGAAAAACGAAGACAGAGTAGGAAGACACAGGACAAGCGCTGCTCCTACTTTGTCTTCCTTTCTACTTCTGTGTCTTCGTTTTTCGCTCTGTTTACCTTAAAAAATGAATCGTTACCAATTTACCCAATTTTTAATACTACTCGGGGCTTATAAACAGCGGTGGTAAGGGTTCACCTGGTTAAACAATGAGGTCATGCACACCAACTGCGAACTGATACTGTCTGGCGTGTGTGTGTGTGTGCCTGCAGAGTATGTTTTTATTTTCTCCTAAAGAATCAAGAAGGGGATGATGAAGCTTGGGATGAAAAAGTGTGTGAGTTTGTGTGCGTGTCACGTGCGTTTGTGCTTGACGTGATGTTTCGACAAGTGAACTTACCTTCGAAGACAACAATACAGATTTACTTGTCAAAACAGCGGTTCTAGCACACACCCCATGCTTACGGTTTCACTTATCTCCTCATGGCTACTGCAGATTAGACTCACCCGGCCAACACAAAGGACTCAACCATGCATCATCATAATCGCTGTCAAATGAAGCTGTCTCAAACTTGCCTGGGAGTAGTCTGTGAGGTAAAAGACTTTGCACCGCTGGTACAGTGCACT